TTGCTAGAGATTATATAGGATATATGATAACTCGACGAATTGCATAAACGAGATTAGAGTATCATAAAGATGGAAGCACTAATCCTGAGAACACGAGCCATCATGACAAGCTTTACCTCTTGTTGAAGATCGAAACCGATGCAGCTCAACCCGAAAGCAAGAACTCGTCGAAATAAAACAAAAGCAAAAGGGTGGCGATGCGCTAAGATTGTATTGAATGTGTGTGTATTTTACATAGGACTCGGGGTCTATTTATACCCGAGGATTACAAGATACGCCCATACCGGACACGACTATTATCTCTAACAAACTCTAAGATACCATAAGTCTTTACGGCAAACTTTTGCCCACATCTATCTCTAAGGAATTTACATAAAATATCCTAATTAATAGATACAATTGCCTGATCAGGACTCCATCCATGCGTGGCAATCATCTTGAAGCACATCAACTCGAACCCGATGTTGTACACAGGTCGTGTTGCCGGAATCGGCTATATCACTTAACCAATCTAACTCAGACTTAGCCAATTCCAATCGTAGCCGATCCGGACTCCAGCCAACTCTCACTCTATTTCTGCAACAATCCCCATCTTCGATTCCGCTTCGATTAATCTTCATCTCCGATGCTGATACTACCAAATTTGGTCGTTAACACGACTACGAGTCAGAACTTCAGACCGCTAGGTGAATAAGAGCAACGACCGGCTTCGGCCAACAGGAGTAGGGTTATTACCTGACAATTCAGGGGCCCGAACCTGTATAAAAATCACTGTCTCCATCTCTTTAACCTCTATCTCGCATATATCCTAGTACCAAAGATCCCCATACTATGCAAATACCGGAATTGCGACATCAAACGTCGACAACCATATTTGAATATACCTTTCCGTATAATACTAAGGTATGCGGTATTCATGGTAGTTACGGATGCAAGTATAGAAGATATACCTAATCCGTAACACTGACACTTTAGTTTTTCCGTCAAACTTAGAATTATAAATATGAAGTTGTATCCATATTAGAATCTTAATTTCGAATGTTATTTAGTTAATAAAAAATTAATAATTAACAAATGTAAAGAATAAACTATTAAATTAAAAAAATCAATTTATTTAATATATTATTAACTTTTTAAATATTTTTAATATCAGCAATAATACCAAATATAGTGTATGGTTTGGAACTAACAATCATGACATACTCTCAATAGCTGTGTCGAAATTAGATTTCGGCAATAATCAAAGGGGGTAGCGCACGAGACCTAAAAGTGGATGGATGCGGAGACAAAGGATTTAGACAGGTTCAGGCCCTCTCAATGAGAGGTAATACCCTACTCCTGTTTGGGGATTTGAATCCGCCGAGTGTGTATTGATCTGACGATCAGGTTGTCTCATGCCCCCTAGAGGGCCTCCTGCCCACCTTATATAGGGTGGGGGGCAGGATTACAAGATAGAAACCTTAACCAATACGGTATCGGTTTCCTAAATCTACTTTACAATATTATCAAACCAGGACTTTAGGCCGTTCCGTAACATACAAGGAAACGTAATACCCAAGTCATGATCTGTTACATATTCCATAGATATAAGTTATCCCCTATAGCCAGTCGGATAACTATGCCATGTGGGTATGGGGTACCCATAATCTCCACAAGCTGCGTACCACATATCTAAAAGGAAAATATTGGACAAATAAGTTTGGCTAGAGATGTGGGCATAAAGTTTGAGGTAAATGGGCTGGGCTTTTGTTTTCTGAAACTATCCAAAAATTGTATGGATAGTTTCACACTATTTTTTTGGTTTCGCCGGATATTAGCCCTACTATATTCATTTCCGATTCTGAAAAAAAAATATTCTGTTTCCATTTCTGAAGCTATCCAACTGACACTATCCATTTCCAAAAAGGTGTCCGGATAGCGGAAACTATCCAAACCAATTTCATCTCTACTCGGGGGTTCAGTTTCATACCTTTCTTCCCTTCTTCCCTCTCCTACTAGTCCTCCTGAACCCCTCTCACAGCTTCTTCGTGGACCAACGGTGCCATCTTCATCACCTCTCATGGCCTCGCATCACCACAATCCCCATGTCCAGCAGCTATTGATGTTAGATATGTTGTCGCCACCCACGCTGCTTCCTAATTAAGCCGTCTTAGTTTTCCTTGCCCGCTGCCCCTCATATTCGTGACCCTTGTCCTGTCGCTGCTGCACCTTCTATTTTTGACCCACCACTTGCTTCTTGCCGCTGTCCAAGTCTCCTTCTAAATTAAGGCCCTGTTTCTTTCAGCTTGGAATTATTATAATATAGATTATTGAGTCAGATTACTATAAGCTAGATTGTTATAATCTGTAGTAGAATAAGCGGTTAGTTGTTTCTTTCCTAGATTATTAGAGCCTAGATTATTGGGTTTGCAAGTCTAAACAGGGAGTGGGGTGGCATGGTGGGTAATGAAACCTTTTCGAGAAAATTGCAATATTGAGACTGCAAACATTAGGGCTTCGCTGTTTTGACACTTCAAGTGGATAACAAATGGGCCCATCTGTGTCTATGAAAGGTGGATCCAATGTCATTATAGCAAAGGTTAATGTTTGCAGTGTCATAATTGCAAATCCCCCATAATTTTTCACCCAATAATTTGGAAAAAGCTCACCTAAATGAGCTTATCAGATTATAATAAGCTGGGCTCTAGATTATAATAAGCTGCTTCAATAAGCTGTCTGTTTCTTTTAGCTTACTCTCAATAATCTGGATTATAATAATCCTAAGCTGAAAGAAATAGGGCCTAAACCAGGGAATTTCCACATCTTAACACTTTCCCCATCCCTAACCGAATCCCAACCTTGAATTTTAATTGACCGGAGCTGTCACTTGAGTTCACATAACTTGGAGAGGATCAAAGGAAGCTCGCTAGATCATATTATCTTTGTCTCAAAATATAAGAGATTTCTGCTAAGCATTTGTATTGTCAAAATCCATTCTATTTAGTACAGAAATAGTAGATTGCACTACTACAGAATACGTCTTTGCAGACAGACGGCAACGATTTTCGCATGTGGCTAGGCCAGCCGCATGCGCGAAAACGTCTGCAAAGATTGTCATCTTTGCATACGGCTAGAGCGACCGCATGCAAAAATCCAATTTTTGCATGCGGTCCCCTATACCAGCCGGATGCGAAAATGAATTCAGCGAAAAAAAAAGAAAAAAGCCAAACCCATGCCCACCGCCGCCCCAATCCAGCCGGCCTCCGCGCCGCCGGATTCGTCGCCGTCGTCGGCCAATCCGCCGCTCCCACCGTCGTCTGTCGTCATCGGCGCAGGATCCGTGTGAGGACAGGCCGCCGCCGCCGGATCGACGCCGAGGTCGCGCCGCTGCCGCCGGATCCACGCCGGGACGGGCCGCCGATGCCGGATCGATGCGAGGTCGCGCCGCGGCCAGTCTGCCAGATCCCCGCCGAGACTGGCCGCCACCGCCGGATCGACGCGAGGTCGCGCCGCTGTCGCCGGATCCACACTGAGACGGGCCGCCGACGCCGGATCGACGCGAGGTCGCGTCACCGCCGCCGGATCGATGCCCCCGCCGCCCTTGGCACCGGAGCCCGCGGCCGCTCCCGCCAGCCGCTGGTGCCGCCACGCCCGCCGTGCCCGCCGCGCCCCGTGCCGCTCTCGGCCCGGGCCGCCGCCGCGCCCCGTGCCGGTCTTAGTCAGAGAGAGAGAGAGAGAGAAGAGATAGAGTGTGAGAGAGAAGACTGAGAGGAGAGGAGGATAAGATATGCTTATGTGTGAAATTTTTTAACTGTGGAAGAGGGAAGGAAGAGGGACCATTTTTACATGTAGGCTACTTAAGCGTCTACATGTAAAAATTGATTTTTTTATATGTGGCATTTTAAATTTTAAATCGATTTTTATGGTGCTAGATGAACTCATATGAAAAAGTTGTTAAAACAATGTTGTAGAACTCATTGAGATCTACCATTTTTCTTTTTATCATTTCTCCATCCGAGTTTGATTGAAATATATAAAATTTGAACTTTAAAATATAAGAAATTCAAATAATTTTTCGGGTACTAGATGATTTCAAATGGAAAAGTCATCAACAACAAGGTAGTATAACTCATCAAGATCTACAACTTTTGTTTTGGTCATTGTTCTATATGACTTTGTTTGAACAATTTGAATTTGATTTTCAAAATATGACAATTTCAAACAACATTTTCAAATACTAAATGATTTCAACTGAAAAAGTCATCAACAACAAAGTTGTATAACTCATCAAGATCTATAACTTTTATTTTGGTCATTTCTTTATCCGACAAAGTTATTTCTAATATCGTTCACAAAATGTACATCTCTTATGTAGTTTTATAAACTATAGAGAGATATGTAAATTTTATGAAAATGTTACCATCACTTTATCGGATGAAGAAATGACCAAAATAGAAGTTATAGATCTTGATGAGTTATACAACTTTGTTGTTGATGACTTTTTCATCTGAAACCATTTACTGCTTCAAAATATTATTTGAAGTTTTAAAATTCAAATTTTTAATTGATAATTAAACAAAGTCACAAGAAAAAATGACCAAAATAATAGCAGTAAGAACACAATAACATGATAGAGCATGATTTTAGAAACATTTTGGAAAAAAATTATCTAATTTGGATTTCATATGAGTGAGATAAACTAGTTTCAATTTTTTAAATTTTTTCAAATTTTATTTTCGCATACGGCTCCTTAAGTGGCACGTATGGAAAAATCGATTTTTCCATGCGGGCGCTTAAGTGAGCCGTATGCAAAAATGAGCTCATTTTTGCATACGGCCATCTTAAGAGGCCCGTATGGGAAAATCGATTTTTCCATACGGGCCACTTAAGTAGCTGTATGGGAAAATGACCCTCGATTTTTGCAGACGCAACTAGTTATGGTGCGTTTACAAAAATCATGGGCTCTCGTACAGAAAAATCACTTTTGTAGAAGTGTTGCAAAGTAGATCAGAACGCTAGAATTTCCAAGATTTGCTCTCAAGTTTATATATTCATATGTAGTTTAGCAAATCCATTTCATTATATAGCTTAAAGTAGCTGACCAAACTTATTGGCACACCACTAACTACAAATTAACTTCTATACATAAGCACGGGACAATATCTTAAAGATGGAAAACAAGGAAGATCTACTGGATTCATAGAACAACCATGTGATGGTATAAATCAAATGAACACAAGTATATATGATATATGCACTCTAGCTCAATTTTTTTAACTATGGTTGACCGGAAGTGTGTTAATCTCTTGGACTCCTCCCACCCTTCCTTTGGACCTTCCATTATGGTACAACAACATGAAGTGGATCATGATGCAGGCAAGCACAACAACAGCCAGAGCGATGACATACCCAGACGTCTCCCAGTCTCTGCAGCTGCCGGCCGCGTAAGCCCCAAGGAGGCCGAGCAGATCGACCACGATGACCATATTCATGGCATAGAGCAGGAAACCACCATACTTCTTTTGATACTGCTGTAGCAGCAGGATGATGACAATAATGGATGCCATAAAGGATGTAGAGTTGCAGTAGAAGAACGCGTTGTACCGAGGGTAGTTGTTGTCACGCATCACGGGGTTACCCACATTCCCTCCATCCTGCCAGATGCTACCCGGCGGGTTTAGGCCGGCCTGGTATGTGACGCTTGCAGCCAGGATGGCAAGTGTCATCAGGTACTCTTTCTTTTTGGACTCCTCTTCAGTGTTGGAAGCAATGTTATGTTTTGAATCAGATGATGACCCATTTGTTGTGTTTGCTGAATCTGAATTAGAGGTAGGCTCCTTCTTGACGTTGAGGAACACAAGGAGCTGCTTCCATACTGCCTGAATGTTGAAATATACGAGTTGCACGAGAAGGAAGGCAATCACCACACCGACTAACACAAAGACGTAGATAGATGTCCGCACTTTCCGGGCACTACCAGCAGCGTAGGCCCCCATGAGTCCAAACATGCCAACCATCATGCACACGTATAGCGCATAACACCTTATCCCTAGCTTGTACAGCTTAGGGTTGACGAGCAAGATGATGAGTGCAACGGACGCCATGAAGGCTGTTGCATTGCAGTAGAAGAATGCATGATACCTTCTTGGGTAGTTGTCGAGGAGGACAGGGACACCTGCATGGTGGCCGGATTCGCCATCGTCTTTGTCCCAAAAGCCACCTGGTGGGGTTAGCCCAGCCTGGTAGGCAATGGTGGCCACTAGGATCGCGAGAAGGAGAAGCCGCTCCCTCCGCTTCTCTACCTCCTTGTCCTTCTGATTGCTCACGTAACAATCGTCAGGCCAGAACACAACATGGATCACCACATAGACCAGGACAGCTCCAGCTAGGGCAATGACGTAGATGGATGTGCTCACATCTCGGCAACTCCCTGCGGCGTATGCTCCAATGAGGCCAAACAGGTCCAGTATCATCGTTGCTATCACTAGTGCTTTGCCCTTAACAATCTTACTCTGGACCATTAGGATGACAACCAAGGATGCTGCAAACGCAGTTGAATTGCAGTAGAAGAACGCCTTGTAGCGTTCAACATGCGTGGATAAGAGTATTGGGTCACCAGCTTTACGCCCGTAGAGCTTGTCATCCTCTGACCAGACGCCTCCTGGAGGGTCCAACCCAGCTTGGTATGTGATGCTGGCCGCGAGAGTGGCAAGCAGTAGTACAAAATCGTTATCCTTCATTGGTTCATTATTTTTGCTCCCCTTTTCACCTTCTAATTGCCCATCTTTTTCATTCCTGTTAATGGCATTGGTGTAAACTTTAAATGTAAAAAAAATTCAAAAATAATATGTGCAAGAGAATACTAATGTAAATACCTGTAAAAAAATATACAGTACATTTTGAATAAGATTCATATTTGGTCGCAATGCAATTTCACATGTGGCTAATGTAGAGGTATGGATAGGTATCACAAATTAACACTAGGTACCTACTTAAGGATAGGTATGACAAATTCTCAATGTGACATGGTCTTAATTACTTCATCCGTCCCCAAAATAAACTAACCTATAAATAAGAGGATTTCACACAACTAAAAGACGATAACATCTAGGTTGGTTTAATTGGGATGGAGGGATACATGATTGTTTCTATTATGATAAGAGGTTTCTTTTCTTGTGCCTGAGATAGCTAAGACGAGATCCCACTGAGAATAATTCAAATCTAAACAATTTTAATTTAATTTGAACTAGTCTAGACCATGGATCAAAATCTAGCTAACATATTTCTAGTATCTCCCAAGATATATCATATATCTTGGATCCTCCCTAGATCTTCTCAAATCAGATGGAAATTTTAAATCGACTTGAATTATCTTTTTTACTTGAATCAGCAAAAATATATTTTTAATAGGGACTATAAAAAGACTGCCATAAGTTTTTTGAGTGGAAAACTCAAACTTAACTATAAATCTAAATATAGTATAGTTGAAATATAATTTGACCATAACTATATTATAACGAAAATACAACTTGTATATAAATATTAAAAAATATATGCAACTATATACCTTATACCTAAGATTACAGTGTATTTATTATGGTGTAATTAAACTATAGTTTATTAGTGCAATCATATTGTACTATAGTTACAATTTTTTAAAAAAAAAATAAAAAAAACTTACAACAATTTTTTAGCAATTCCCTTTTTTCTCTTGGTGAGATTTCACCTTGGGACAGCAAGATCTTGTGAGATATCTCTTTCTTAGGTTGTCCCCATATTTTCATACAGAGAGAAATAGAATGATTTGGAAAAAAAAAGTTACTTAAATTTGAAGAAATTCGCATACATGCAAAATTTTTGGCTGGTTCAAAAAATAATCTTGAGAGTGATCAATAGCAAGATCTGACAAGGCCAGGATCTCGCTGATCTGAGAAAATGATTCACTTATTGACAAGGAAAGGACACGTTACCTAGGAGGCCTAGCTGTCTCTGAATCTTCTACCCCACCGGCGAGGTCGACGTCGTGCTTCTTCTTCTTCAGAGCAATCGCCATGGCGAGGAGGATATACGCAAGCACCGCGGCGACCAGGGCGACGACGTAGGCGATCGTCCTGAGATCCCTGGAGCTCCCGGCGGTGTACGCGCCCATGAGGCCGAGCAGCGCGGCGAGGATGGGCGGGTACAGCTCGAGGTGCATCCTCTGCAGCCTGCTGCTCAGCAGCGGCACGACGATGGACAGCGACGCCACGAACGCCGCCGTGTTGCAGTAGAAGAAGGTCGCCAGCCGCGCCGACTGCCCGCGCCCGGCCGACCGCAGCGTCGGGCCCCCGTCGTCCTGGAACCCGCCCGGCGGGCCCAGCCCCGCCGTGTACGTGATCTCCGTCGCGAACGTCGCCAGCAGCATCAGCACCTTGCGCAGCTGGTTGTCGTCGTCGTCGCCGGCGGCGGCGGCGGCGGCGGCGGGCGAGGTGGTGGTGGTGGTCGTCGCCGATATTAATGGATTTCCTCCGGTCTGGTAGATGATCCTGATGGCGAGGTAGGTGGAGAGGGCGACCACGAGGGTGGAGACGTAGACGGTGCTGGGCAGGTCCCGGCAGCTGCCGGCGGCGTAGGCCGCCATGAGCGCGAGGACGTCGAGCACCATGACCGTGCGGAGCATGGCGAGCCCCACAGTGCTCGCCTCCTCGAGGACGAGGAGCAGGAGGTTCACCACCAGCGACGCCGCGAAGGCGGTCGCGTTGCAGTAGTAGAACGCGAGGTACCGCGCGTGCGCCGCGCCGCCGCCGGCGGAGGCGATGTCCTGGAGCGTCGGGTCGCCGGCCTTGTACTGCCCGCCGCCGCCGGCGTCCTTCTGCCGCACCCCGCCCGGCGGCGCCAGGCCGGCGGAGTACGTCGCGATGGCCACCACCGAGCTCAGCAGCAGGAGGTACTCCCTCAGCTGGTACTCCCATGATGGCGGCTTCGGCGGCTGCTGATCAGCCGTCGCCGGCGGCGTTGTTCCTGTGTCCGGCGACGCCATATTCGATTCGAGGCTGTAGCTTTCTTGGTGTTGCAATGCGATCGAGCACGCACACTACTCTAGAGTATGAATAGATATATACACAGAGCATCGATAGACACGTATCATGGCACAGGGGAAATAGATTATAACAAGCATAGTGGCCCGCGCAGATTGCGCGGCTAGCATCATTATATTTTCTCTCATATAATAGCATATATGTTTTCTCATTATATTATTCAAATATATTAAAATGACAACATAATTTTAAATTTTGCAATAACTTTACAAAACTACTAATGTGTAATATTTATATTATATTTTATATACGTGTTAGTTATTAATTATTTTTAATATCAAATTTTAGTTATTTGTAAATTATATATATTCCTATATGGACTCTAGACTCGTCTTTTAATATTTCTTTTTTTAATTCCGAATTTTCTGTAAATTGTATTTTTATATAGAGTCTATGCTCTTCTTCCAATATTATTTATTTTTATTTATGAATTTTTATTATTTCTAATTGTATTTCTATGTGGACTCTAAACTCATCTTTCAATATTCTTTAATTTTTAATTTCGAATTTCAGTTGCTTCTAAATTATATTTCAATATTTGTATTCCTATATTGACCTTAAATTCTTCTTCCAATGTTTTTATTAATTTTGAATTTTAGTTATTTGTAAATTGTATTTTTTATACAGACTCTAAACTCTACTTTTAATTTTATTATGTTTATTCCAAATTTTAGTTAGTTTTAAATTCCTATATGGACTCTATACTCTACTTCTAATATTCCTTATTTTTTTAATTCCGAATTTCTATTTTTTTTTCTAAATTGTATTTCTATATATACTCTATACTTTACTTCTAATATTCCTTATTTTTAATTCCGAATTTATATTATTTCCTAATTGTATTTCTATATGTACTCTATACTCTACTTCTAATATTCCTTATTTTTAATTCCGAATTTCAGTTATTTCCTAATTGTATTTCTATATGAACTCTACACTCTACTTCTAATATTTCTTTTTTTTTAATTCTGAATTTCAGTTATTTCCTAATTGTATTTCTATATGGACTCTAGTCTCCTCTTCTAATATTCCTTTTTTTCATTCCGAATTTCAGTTATTTCCTAATTGTATTTCTATATAGATATAGACAGACTCTAGTCTCCTCTTCTAATATTCCTTTTTTTAATTCTGAATTTCAACTATTTCTAAATTGTATTTCTATATGGACTCTAGTCTCCTCTTCTAATATTCCTTATTTTTTAATTCCGAATTTCAGCTATTTTTAAATTGTATTTCTATATGGACTCTGTCTTTTCTTTTTCTCCGATTAATGTGAGAATTTCTAGGCCATGAGAGCGAACTTGGAGGTTCCTTTTTCTATTCCTTTAATTATATATTTAATTCCAAATTTCTTTCTAAATTGTATTTCTATATGGACTCTAGTCTCCTCTTCTAATATTTCTTATTTTTAATTCCGAATTTCAGCTATTTTTAAATTGTATTTCTATATGGACTCTGTATTTTCTTTTTCTCCGATTAATGTGAGAATTTCTAGGCCATGAGAGCGAACGTGGATGCTCCTTTTTCTATTCCTTAAATTATATATTTAATTCTGAATTTCTATTTTTTCCTAATTGTATTTCTATATGGACTATATAGTCTACTTCTAATATTCCTTATTTTTAATTCCGAATTTCAGTTATTTCCTAATTGTATTTCTATATGGAGTCTATACTCTACTTCTAATATTTCTTATTTTTAATTCCGAATTTCAGGTATACTCTGTATTTTCTTTTTCTCCGATTAATGTGAGAATTTCTAGGCCATGAGAGCGAACGTGGAGGCTCCTTTTTCTATTCCTTAAATTATATATTTAATTCTGAATTTCTATTTTTTCCTAATTGTATTTCTATATGGACTATATAGTCTACTTCTAATATTCCTTATTTTTAATTCCGAATTTCAGTTATTTCCTAATTGTATTTCTATATGGAGTCTATACTCTACTTCTAATATTCCTTATTTTTAATTCCGAATTTCAGGTATTTTCTAATTGTATTTCTATATGGACTCTAGTCTCCTCTTCTAATATTCCTTATTTTTTAATTCCGAATTTCAGCTATTTGTAAATTGTATTTCTATATGGACTCTAGTCCCCTCTTCTAATATTCCTTATTTTTTAATTCCGAATTTCAGCTATTTGTAAATTGTATTTCTATATGGACTCTGCTTTTTCTTTTTCTCTGATTAATGTGAGAATTTCTAGGCCATGAGACCGAACGTGGAGGCTCCTTTTTCTATTCCTTAAATTATATATTTAATTCCGAATTTCTATTTTTTCCTAATTGTATTTCTATATGGACTCTATAGTCTACTTCTAATATTCCTTATTTTTAATTCCGAATTTCAGTTATTTCCTAATTGTATTTTTATATGGACTCTAGTCCCCTCTTCTAATATTCCTTATTTTTTAATTCCGAATTTCAGCTATTTGTAAATTGTATTTCTATATGGACTCTGTTTTTTCTTTTTCTCCGATTAATGTGAGAATTTCTAGACCATGAGAGCGAACGTGGAGGCTCCTTTTTCTATTCCTTTAATTATATAATAGATTTCTCGAGAAAATATCCACTCGTTCTTACATGTCATTAAAACAGTCAATGGATAGATTAATATGTGTTATACTACTCTCTTCGTTTTAGGTTATACTCCCTCCATATATTTTTGATAGGCATATTTTCAAATCTGAAAAATTTATTTTTGATAGGCATATTTCAATCCCCAACAACCTATCATCTGAACAACTTTCTCGAATTTAATGCGTGACTCACAATTCTTCCACACAAAATTGGTTAAATGGGCTCCCTCCGTCTACTTTTGATAGTCACAGATATATTCATTTATTTATTATAACTTATAGAATTTAAATTTAAATTTGTATGTATTTGTTAGTGATATATTAGACATTAATTTATTTTCTCTAGTTCTTCTAATATTTTATATAACTATTTGGATGATATGCCAGCAATGATGGTCTCGAGGGATAACTTTCCCCCGTCAGTGAAACCCTGTGCATAAGAGCCTAATTAAGAAATTAAGACTTTGGTAAATCATCTTGTTAATTAGTCACTTATAGCTTGATCTGGAGTTCAATTAAGGAGCTAAGAAAGACTTCGTTGAAGTCATTTAGTAAGTCGTCGATCGAGACATGTTAGCTAGATCAATCGATGCATGATTCACAACCCTGGACTCAAAATGCAATTGTGTCATTGTTTGACTGACCTTGCAAGGCTTGAACTGCCAATGAAGTAGGAGTGGTTTGGCTGGGCATGTGAAAATATTGCACAACTTCCTTTGTCGATTTGTGCCCTGTCAACGGCACGACCACAGTGCCACAGCACTGCCACATTGGAGGACAGAAAGACAGAAACCGAAGAGGATTACCTGGCCTCCTCCGTCCCAAAATAACAACCTTACGATTAACCTATCCTAAAACTACGACAAGCTTTTTTCAAATCCTAAAACAACGAGTCTGGACAAGATTTTATTCAGATTCATTATTTCAAGATATATCACATTTTATACTAGGTTAAGTTATTTTAGGACAAAGGGAGTACCTAGCTAGATTAGTCCTCACTATGTGGACAAGATATTTAAATTAAGAGACTTATAAACTTCGTCAAAGTCATCGTATTTAATTTTATTGAGATAGTTAGGTACTAGATCTCAATCATTCTTGTATACAACTAGACATAAACTGTAGTATTTAATTTACCTTTAACTGGCAAGAAAAGAACAGGTGTGTTGGGCACTTGGGCGTGTGCACATAACTTGACCAGAGACAGACGTACGGCATTCAGACTTAATGATTTATTATGTCCATGTACAGTACTTTCTCCGTTTCACAATGTAAGTCATTCTAGTATATGAACGTGAAAAATGCTAGAAACTTATATTGTGAAACGGAGGGAGTACTTTTAAGTTGAACACATTTTCCTTTGAACTTATGCACATAGGGTGTGTTTAGTTCACGCCAAAATTAGAAATTTGGTTGAAATTGGAACGACGTGACGGAAAAGTTGGAAGTTTACGTATGTAAGAAAGTTTTGATGTGATGGCAAAGTTGAAAGTTTGAAAAAAAAAGTTTGGAACTAAACTTGGCCATATATGATTTATTACCAGGGGTAAATATATAGTGGAAACTCAACTTCAGTTAATACTTGTTTAAATTCTGACAAAAAAATCATCTAAATTCAAAAAAAGATCACACATGTAGATGAGATGATATAACATGCCAGAAATTTCATCTAGGAAATTTTTTTAAAAAAAAATTAAAAGTTTTTAAATTCTGAAGTTTTTATGAACTTAGAAGCACATCCTAGAGCCTAACTTATATAAATAAATAAAACACATAGTTTTTCTTGGACCAAGTCAGATTTAACCCAAATAAAAATTTGCAAATCTTGTTTTAACAAATTTCAAATCAAATATTTTGGTTTGACCATGAATTAGAACGGTTTTGCAATTTTTTTTTTTTTGCGGGGGAAAGACTTAAATTTCATTAAATCATGGGAATATTACAATCTCTTGAGCCAGAGGCTCAGACCAGCACACTCAGGTGCATTGAAACGCCAAACTGCACTCTCTTTTCGTCGTAACGCCAAGTGAGACAGACAATGGGCAACACAATTACTATGTCTGTCCACTTTTTGGATACGGTACTCAGGTGCTAAGCGCAAGGTCCTCCTGATGTCCTGTATGATACGCCACAACTGGGATCTGTCATCACAACAGGATTGCAAAGAAGTCACCAGGTTTTGCATTTTAATTTAACCAACATGCTTAGGTTAAATACAAACTAATAGGAATAAAGATTTTAAAATATATAAACCAAAAAAACACTAAGTTATACTTTGTTGCATGTGCATATTTTATTTTTGGGATTGTTTTTGATCTTTTTGGTGCATCTCATAGTAGGTTCCATAAGCATGTCATGGCTAAAGAAAAATCCTAAAAATAAATGAAGCCTCAATAAATCTTACCAAAATTCTCATAAATACTATACA